CCCTCCCCCCAGGAGCATTCTATAAGCCTAAAGACTGTGCCCTTTTTTTGACCAAAAAATGGGCCCGTTTTTTGCAAGAAACAGGCTGCTTTTTGCTCATTTTTGGCCCCCGGCCCCCAGGAGCACTCTACAAGTCTCCTAAAGGCTATGCATGGCCTTTTGACGAAAAAGGGCTGTTTTGGGGAGGTCTGCAGAGTACAAAAACTTTTTTTTAAATTTGTCTCTTCAAAATCTTAGTGCGTCTTATACTCTGATGCATCTTACACTCCGAAAAATATGGTAATTTTGAAAATAATAAGTCAAAATGCATTTCTATTTATATTACAACAAATATATGTGTATTTTAATATATGAATACAAACAATTTTTCAAACTGAAACACTTTTTAAAATATGGAATAATTGAAACATAAAGATAGTTTCTCTCCTGTAATTAATGTAAAGATATTTGGCAAATGACAAAATTAAAAAGTGATGTTTTCATGTTGACAGATAAAGCCCTAAAAGAAATTGTTGAACGCGTTCTTCAAACAAGTTATTTTGACAGTACTCACAACCATCAAAATGGACTTTGTGAAGAAGAGGAGACAGCATCTGCACCCGCAGTTGAAGATTCTGTGACAGAAACTGGTAACTAAATAAATAATTGAGTCTGAGCCTAATCATATTAATTGAAGAATTCCACTGTGCTCACTGGGAGTTATTTCTGAGTTAAAATATATAATACACATGATAGATTTGTAGAACTTTTGAAACCTTGTGGGTACTTATTTGTTGACCGCAGTTTACTTACTATACTATATGGTATATAAAAGGCTATATTCACAGTACACACTTAGAAGTTGATTTTTAATTTTTTTTCATATTTATTTTCATACAAAATAAATTGGTCACATGAATGTCACACTGGCCAGCCTTTAAAAACTAGGCTAGTAAATCAAACCACAGAAATCTATAGTTTCCTTGAAGTCAGGTGTTGTATCTTAAAAAAAAGAAATGTGGGAATATTAGCTTCTGAATTTACAAGGGTATATGTTTAGTGAAGAAGTCACAAGCAGAAGCCAGAATTTTTAGACTTGTTTATTCAAGGGTTAATATATAAAATGGGAACCTAGTTTCTCAGATATGAGTTATCAATTTTGCCCTTTCCTCCAACAAGGAGAAACAGGTTTGAGAGATGTTAACGGGTGGGATGGATCCTTAATTCAAGGCTATTTTACTTGTTCAAATTTCCACAACCCACAAAATGAGCTGAAATGTTTTGCTTGCCAGTTCCTAGGGGTGGGGAATAGGGGCACAAGAGAAGATTAATGAATTACAGAGTCATGTTCCAGCTACTTAATATTTTGAGAAGGGCGAAATCTTTTAAACATACAGTTCAAGAAAGCTATTAAATAATGAAATATCTCAGAAGTTAATGCCTATATCTTGTGGATTGAAATAAACAGTAGCTATAATTTTACTTCATAGCTAACATAGATGAATAAGAGTATTTTTACTATTTTTTATTTGATTGTAATTTATTTGATTGTTGGAGCTACCCGTAATTGTTGAAAATCAGGCATAGAAGTTTAATAATTAAATATTATTAATATAAAATTCATTTTAAGAAAGCTTTATGTAAAGAGTGTATTTTCCTCACAGAGCCAGAACCAACAGAAGAATACACTGAACCAAGTGAAGTTGAATCAACAGAGGTACTCTTTAGTAGAAATACTGTAGTCACCTTTCTAGAATGAATGTTGTTGGTTTATTGTTATATTCTTTCATTTTTATTTTAGTATGTAAACAGACAGTTCATGGCAGAGGCTCAGTTCAGCAATAATGAAAAGGAACAAGTAGATGAATGGACAGTTGAAACTGTTGAGGTAAATTGTTACATATCTTTTATAAAATTTCAGTAAGTTATAATTCTTTTATAACTTATAACTGTAATTGAAATAGAATAATTAATCTTGAACCTTTTCAAAAAATCCTTTGACAGGAATGAATATTTTCTCCAAATATAGGGGTTCTCAGGTTACAACTTGTTCAGCAACTATTGAAAGTTGCAACAGTGCTGAACAAGTGGGTGCTTGGCAACCAACTTACACTTGGAATAGTTGCCTTCTACTTGCATGATCAGAATTTTGAGGCTTCCAACAAGCAAAGTCAATGGGGAAATGGCAAGGAGACTTTGGTAAGTCTCTCAACTGTGCAGCCTCCCCTTGTCCCTCTGTAATTGTGTCATGCTAGTCACCTGCACACCCTCATGTATTCTTATTGAGATTGGCTGTACTTGTACAGTGCTTACCAGCTATTTTATGCACTCTCCCTGGCAACATGTGTGCCCCTTTGCTCCCCACTGGCTTTGGTTATTGGAAGCTGGCAGGAAGTTGTAAGGAGGTGCTTGCTGATGGGGACTGAAAGGATTGCCATGATTAAGTGATATGGTCATGTAACAGGTTTTACGACTCATGCTTAGTGACCAAAATTTCCAGTCTTAATTACTGTTGTAACTCGAGGATTACCTGTATGTATTAGTATCATGTTATTTTATATACTGTATTAGTTTATCTAGAAATCAGCATAAAACATAAATGGATCAGAATTGATGAAAATGCAAACTTCAGCAGCTGTATGGTTGTGATAGAGTGTCAACAGTAAAAACAAGCACTTAATATTAGTGATAATTTCATTGATATAAGGGCATTTGAGCATTAATATAAAATAAAAATAAGCAATTATATGGTTACAATCTCCTTATAAATGCATACAACTCTGTTATTGGAATTGTGTAAGCTCATTACTTTAAGTTAAATATGTGTGCTTTAGTTAGGTTCTAACATTTAAGGATCCTCTTTTCCCTTTATAAAGATGTATCTACAGGTTGTCCTCAATTTACAACTACAGTTAGAACTGGAATTTTGGCAATAAGTGATGCAGTCATTAAGTGAACCATCACATGACTTGACCTGATTTTGCTACCATTTTTACCATGGTTAAGAGAATATAGCTTCCCAAATTGAATTTAATTGTCAGAAGCTGGCTGACAATGTATCAAATCACTATCATGTGACTGAAAGAGGCTGCAACAATTGTAAATATGAACTGGTTGCCAAGCATCCAAATTGTGACTACAAGCCTGATACAATGTTTATAACTTTTGAGGATGGGTTATAAATCATTATTTTCAAGGCCACTGTAACTATGAACTGTTGTTAAATGAATGGTCATAAGTCAAGGACTATCTTTATAAAACCACTTGATTACTGTCATATTATTAAAATCCCAAGCATGCTATTATTTACAGAGATCTGCTTTCTTTCTGTTTTTAATTAAGCTAATAGCATATAGTGCTAGCTTTGTCCAAATCATCCTTTCCATTTTTGCACTTTTAAAAGGAAATATTGACCCAGATCTTAACTATTTAAAGCTGAAAAATATTTATATTTACATTCTTCCTTCTGTAGTACAAATATACTATCGTCACAAGATTGCTAGTAGATAATATTGTCAATTTGCCATTTAATTGTGAACTGTTTTAATTGTATTGATTATTTTTAATGTAGGTGGTAAATTCACTCCAGCAACCACAGGCTACATCTCCTCCAGTTCCAGATGCCCATACGCTTACAGCGGTAGCTCAGGCAGACCCACTTATTAGAAGACAACGGGTGCAGGATCTTATGGCACAAATGCAAGGCCCATATAACTTTATGCAGGTAATTAATAATTTGATTAATATAATATTATAATATTTTAAAAATGAGTAGAATCCAATTGAATTGGAGAACTGTTTTCTTCAATTGAACTGAAACAGAATTTGGCCCTGGCTGATCTTCATTGATTTTGTCTGTGGTGAAGCTGTCTTAAATCTAGTTTAATAATGTAAGAATTTATGTCTGTAGTGAAGCTGGCTTAAATTTTGGCTTAATTATCTAGGACTCTATGCTGGAATTTGAGAACCAAGCACTTGACCCTGCTATTGTTTCAGCTCAGCCTATGAATCCACAAACTTTGCAGATACCACAGATGGTTTGCCCTCCAGGTCTGTAATATAATATTTTTGTATGTGAACTATGTAGCAAAGTGGCAATAAAATTCAAGTAATTCGGTATTTTTACATTTCACTCAATTTTATATTCCACCTTTCTACATTTGTACAATGTTCAATTTTACCAAGGAAACAGTGAAGCTTAATAAAAATATACACATGTTATGATCATTAAAGTCTGCTGAAAAGACACATTTTAAGCGGAAAGAATGGGACTTAACACACATCCTAAGGAAATAAATTATGTTGAAATGTTTCTCCAAGTCAGTCTATCTTTGAAATAGGGGGAATCCTTAAAAGTATTTCTCCTGCAGGTCTTCATATATGACAGGTTTATAATGGGAGAGGCAATCCTTCATTTACAATTTTAGAGGTTACAGTGACTGTTTATAAGCAATAGAAAATAGTTCTTCCCATACGAATTACATATTTTAGTTTGTATAATTAGAAACTTACCGGATCCATTTTGCACCAGCTGATATTTAGGGATATTTTTAAGGATAGTCCCATGGAAAAATTATAATAGTCAAGTGCAACATCAGCCATGCTTAAAGAAATTTCCACTGCATTAATTTCAATATTGATTGTATTATTCTATTTCTAGTTCATGCTGAATCTAGACTTGCACAAACAACCCAGGTTCCTGTACAACCTGAAGCTACACAGGTAAGAATCCTTGATAATTAATGGCTGAATATTTCTTTCTAAACTTTCCCCTCCTTATTTAGTAATTGTTGAGCTAGGTTCTACAATACTTTCTTCATTCGCATGTAATTAGAAGTGGATGATTTTTTTATAATGTACTTACCAAAATTGGAGCAATCAGTTTTCCTTTGAAAACCCAAGCATGTATCTTTCACACTATTTTGATATATCATCCGGAACTATTAAAAATTTGCTTTGGAAGGGAAATATTAAAAAAAAAACATGTTTCCTCAGACCCATGTAACAGCCCTGCTCTAGTTATAGGAAAATCCATAAGCAATATAAAAACATTTATAAAACTTCTTTCTCAGAAAAATCTGAACCCCATCAAAGTCAAAATGTGGTACAGATAATAACTTAGCATACTGCTTAGCTGAGCATTAATTCAATTGGGGAAGTTACATAGAAAGAAATCTGTAAATGCCTCTGTACAAACACATGGAGACATCACAATGGGAAGGCAGCAATAGTCTTTTAAAACTAGGGTTATACAAAACATTGGGTGGTCTGTGCTTGGATTGAAATATGTGTATATATTTCAAACATGTAGAGGTAGAGTAGGAGACATCAGGAAAATGGAAGGCTGAGTGGTCTTAATATAACTAAACAGAGCAGAAGAAAGGTTAGGATTAGGTGCTGGAAAAGATAGATGTGCTGAGTTTCTGTAACACACTTTAAAGCATGGCAGGACACAATTATTTTCATGCATGAAACAAATAACAACAATAACAATATATCATGTATTCAGAATTCTGAAGTAATAATTATCCTTGGAAATTAATTCTGGAAGTTGGCTTTATTTTAGTATTTGAATTAGCCTGTCATTGTGACTTGCTTGCAATATTTTTCCAAATTAGAACCATGCCTATAAAGTATTTAGGGTGAATTGAATCACAGCTATTAGTTAATTTCATTTAGAGCAGTGATGGCGAACCTTTTTTGGCTCATGTGCCATAAGCGGGAGGAGTGCAGGGGGGTTGTGTGTGGGCATGCTGCACCCATAAGGCAATGTGAGACACCCCCCCCCAGTGCGTATGTGCACATGACAGGCATTTCCCCCCAATTTTTTGCATGCTTTTTTCGCCCTTCCCAGGCTCCAGAAACTTTATAGAAGCCTGAGGAGGGTGAAAACAGCCTCCCCTCCCCCTCCCGAGGCCCTACGAGCAAACTGGAAGTCCATTCCCGAACTTCCGGTTTGCCTGCAGAGCCCTTTTTTTGCACTCCGGAGGCTTCAGGAAAGCTCCATCATTTTTCATTGTCTAAATATATTAAATTAGTTTAAATACAAATTAACTATTGTAGTTTTAAAAGTATTTTTTTCTAGGACCTTAAAGTGGTGCTTGTACTCATTAAATAAATTTCCATAAAAAATAATGGTGAATAAGGATTAGGATTAAAAATGGAACCATGATTAAAACCATAAATGAAAATCAGAATAGAGTAGAATTTCTTGTAACTAAAAATCTTGTTAATTTTTACTATTAGTTTCAGAATGACATGATCACAAATAGAGAGACTTTTAGAAAAATAAAAGACTTTAAATCAGAATTGCTCACAGAAATATGCAGAATGCAAAAAAATTAATTGTAATCCTCTTCAAATGCGTGAATTATATTAGCTAATTCTGATAAATGACAGTTTTAAGAACATGTACTATTTGGAAATAAACTGACATTTCATTCTGTTTAAATAACACTTTTATAATGGATATTAATGCTTCCTTATTTCTAGCACATTTAAACAAAGCTAATGATAATTTTAATTTGTGCCAACTCTTATGTTTCTATCTGACTGACCATTTGCAATGTAATTGTGTGTATAGAATGCCACATTGTAGGGCGAGCCAATTTTATTAGTTTATTCAGGATGGCTGCTGAATACAGTATTCCGGTTTTTAATATCAAAGCTTCCCCCAACTCCAGGACAACTATTTACATTTCCATCATTTAGTTTCCAGCATAGGTTGTTCTTTAGGCTGCTCATCTAATGCCTGATCCTGTTCTATAGAATCTATAAATCTATAGATTAGACAAGTTCTTAATTTGATGATATCAGAACCCTTTCCCTTCCCAGCACATGAAGAGAACTAAACCTACAAAGAAATAGATAAAAAGAAATAAGTATAAGTAGTCCTTGACTTAATATCACAATAGGGACTTTAAAATTAATAATTAAGTAGTTTCGTTATTGCGATGTCTTGTGACTGCACCCAGTTTGATGGCCTTTTCTCCCATAACGGTCAATAAATTCATCGCCATAGTTGTTAACTAAGACATGTGACCACGACTTGTGACTGGGTTCCCTATTGATTTGCTTGTTGGAAGTTGACTGAAAATGTCATGAATCATGATCACGAAAGTGGGACACTGTTGTAAATACACAATAGTTGCCAAATGCCCAAGTCACAGTCACATGACTGCGGGGAAACTGCAAGGGCCATGAGTCATTTTTTGCAGCACTACCATTGCTAAATGAATGGTCATAAGTAGGAACTGCCATTAGCAAATGGCTTTGACAAGTGTCTATCCTTGCAGATTTAATTATCTCCCAAAATTTGCTTAGGGCTTTCCTTATGCTGTGCAAATCAGGGCAGGCTAACCCCAGGCAAAGAGCGGATGAGATGAATGTGCTCCTACTTTGCAGGTTTAAGGTTTATCCAGCAGAACAGCAGCAAATTTGATAGCATTCCTGCCTTACAGACTTAAGAGATTTTTCAACCCCTCGCATTTATGTTGCTTATGACCCCTTGCGATTCATGACACAGTCCTCTAAAGCTTTTGGAGAAGTAGAAAAGATAACTGAAAAAACTGGTACAACTAGTATAATTACTAAGCTTTCTTAAAAGATTATGAAATAAAAACTATATGGCCATAATTCTTAGTATATCCATCTCACGAAGCAGTGCTGTAATATAAAAAGAAATGGTATGAAAGCCTGCTAATATTAGAATTTGAAGAAATTTTAAACAATTTTAAAAACTTTTGGCCTAGCTAGAAACTCAGGGAAAATCTCAAAATGCAGGTAGTCCTCGACTTATGACTACAATTGAGCCCAACATTTCTGTTAAGTGAGACATTTGTTAAGTGAGTTTTGCCCCATTTTACAATTTTCCATGCCACAGTTGTTAAGTGAATCACTGCAATTGGAAAGTTAATAACCTGGTTGTTAGGTGAATCTGGCTTCCCCATTGACTTTGCTTGTTAGAAAGTTGTAAAAGATGATCACATGACCCAGGCACAGCAAAAGTCATAAATATGAATTGGTTGCCAAGCATCTGAATTTTGATCACATGGTCATGGGGATGCTGCAATGGTTGTAACTATTAAAAAGCGTCATAAGTCACTTTTTTCAGTGCCCTTGTAACTTTGAATGGTCACTAAATGAACTGTTCTAAGTTGAGGACTACCTGTAGCACTTTGTGAACTAGAAGAAATAAAAGTCTTCTAGATTTTCTAAATATGAATAAATATTCAGAAGAATGTTGCTAACATAGAGAGAGCTGTAAAACTCATGAAATTCAAAGGAAGGACTTACCGAGAGGCCCTGGCTGGAGTTTCTATTAAATTTTAAAACTTTGACAGGTCCCCTTGGTTTCTTCCACAAGTGAGGGATATACAGCATCCCAGCCCACGTATCAGCCTTCCCATTCAACAGAACAGCGACCTCAGAAAGAATCAATTGACCAGATTCAGGCAAGTTATGAGACTTCATTATGCTTGGGAGGGGAAAGCGTTTTGCATATATAGATGAGTGCCCCTCTTAAAAAGTCTTGGAAACTATTTTAGATATCAGAGTTGGGGGAGGTTGATAATTTTTTAATTCGAATGTTTTGTTAAGCTTATCTGTTCTGATTCTGAACATTTTAGAAGCAATTTTTAAAATTTAAATTTGGGTAGACTTTATCTAATCAAAAGGTGATTCGATGTAATTGGTATTTGATTGACAAGGAAATGCCTCTGTAGGTTCACTGTCACTGCACAGAAAACTACTTTCTGTAATCTTTTCACGTTCAAGGTTAATTCAGAGTAGAATGCTAGGATCTTTCTACTCTTAATAAAGAGGATAGTATGTAACAGATTTTACACTTTTCCCTTTTCTTAGGCACACTTCGTCAGCAGCAACTTATTTCATAATTAAAAATGGTATTGATGTTAATGTTAAGTTAATTTTATTTGTCAGGCTTCAATAACCTTAAGTACTGATCAGACACCAACATCGTCGCCACTTCCAGTTGCATCCCAGCCTCAGGTATTTCAGGCTGCCTCTAGCAAACCCTTGCATAGCAGCGGAATCAATGTTAATGCAGCTCCATTCCAGTCCATGCAGACGGTAAGCATTAAATATATTAAAAATGTAAATAACAAAATTTTGGATGTCAGCATCATGATAATGGTCAATTTTTCTGTAAATACTATTAGTAGTTTATTGTATTTTATTGGTGTCCCACTTTTATTGTTTTATAAATGATTCAAGATGATGAACATGTCCAACACACCTTCCCCCCCTTTTTCCCCGCAACAACAATCCTGTGAGGTGAATTGGGCTGAGAGAGAGTGACAGCCTAAGGTCACCCAGTTGGCTTTCATGGCTAAGGCAGGACTAGAATTCATATTTGGTGCCTTTCGAGCCTGGTGTCTTAACTAAAGACTAAACTGGTCTATGCTTTTGAAATGTTTATGGCATATCACTTGAATCCAAATTTTTAAAATTAACTGATTTTTACTTACTTTCCATCTAGGTATTTAACATGAATGCACCTGTTCCTCCTGTCAATGAACCAGAAACTCTAAAGCAACAAAATCAATACCAGACCGGTTACAGCCAGACATTCTCCAATCAGCCCCATCCAGTAGAACAATCAGAACTTCAGCAAGAACAGCAGCTTCAGACAGGTAAAACTGTGAAAAACTGAATGCTTTACTCTCAAAAATGTTTTAAAGAGATGTAGTCTAAATGATTCTTTATTGATGGTGTTTATGTGATATAGTCTGCATATTGTGAAAAAAACAATTCTGCAATATTTGTATGGTTTTACAAAGGGGGAAATGCTGTGGGATAAATATTAATGTTGATGATTTTATATACCAAACTGAACAAAACCCATATCCTAGCTGGTAAAAGGGACCCCCTCCCCCCCCCAAAAAAAAACTTTAGGAAACTAAATTGATGAAGTTACAGAGTGCACTCTTTAAATCATGTGAAATGTAGGGACTATTCTACATGTTTAGGGAATTCAGACTGCCATGTTGGATTTAATTCTGCAAACAATCTTTCTTTAGATAGGTAAACATTTACTGTCCTACTTGGTGGCTCTTAAGCAGAGTACATTGGTGAGTTAGCTTGATATTATTTGAGTCTTTAGGAAACTGGAGTATACATTCAAATTTCTTGTACTGTCTTGGTTTTTTTTTCATTTTAGTGGTTGGTACTTACCATGGTTCCCCGGACCAGTCCCATCAAGTGGCAGGTAACCACCAGCAGCCTCCACAACAGAATACTGGGTTCCCACGTAACGGTCAGCCTTATTATAACAGCCGGGGAGTGTCTCGTGGTGGATCACGCGGCACTCGAGGCTTAATGAATGGATACAGGGGACCAGCCAATGGGTTTAGAGGTAAAAACTTAAAAACCTTTTAAGATTAATTCTGAATGTTTTTCAGAAATGCAGAATATCAACAAGTTTAAGCATTAGAGTAACATGCTTTAATTTTTTAATGACAAAAAAGTGCAGCATTACATAAACTTTGTAGTAGTTGCTCTGGCATAGTATAGAAAACAAAGCAGATCATACAAGGGCAAAGTATGAGAAGGAACTAATTACAAGTATTTAATAGGATGTGTATATGAAACTCAAAGTGACTTTCCATCTGTAACTTGCTAAATGGCTGCATCTTTTTCAGGGCTTATTCCTTGGCTTACAAAAGCAAGTCTTTCACTTATACAAACTATGACTCTTGATGGTATTCTTTATTTTGGTGCCTGAATTTATTAATGCATTTAAATAATTTATAATAAATCTTGCATATAATGGGAAATCTTGAAGACACTGAATGGTGCACAGGAACCCAGATGCAGTTTAAACACTTATCCGGTAATTTAATGTTAAAAGATTAAGTATGGTATAGATGGAAGAAGAATTTATTTTCAGTCTAGTATTGAATTGTGAAGTTCTAGTGTTTTCCATTTGTAAGGAAATTCTCCATGATCATATTTATAAAATTTACAAGCAAGAAGCAGCATACTCCTTCCTCCTTCCTAGGAGCCGTAGTGGCACAGTGGTTAGATTGCAGTACTGCAGGCTACTTCTGCTGATCACTGGCTGTCAGCAGTTTGGCAGTTTGGGTCTCACTGGCTCAAGGTTGACTCAGCCTTCCATCCTTCCGAGGTCGGTAAAATGAGGACCCAGATTGTTGGGGGCAATATGCTGACTGTGTAAACCACTTGGAAAGGGCTGTAAAGCACTGTGAATCAGTATATAAGTCTAAGTATTATTATTGTTCCTTATGGTGCTTTCTCAGAATGTTCTGTAAGATTTTTTGTGTGCAGAATGCTATTTCTGGATATATCATAAGTATATTCATGTATATTTCATAAGATAATTCTATCTAGTAATTGTTTTATCCTGATTTTTAGGAGGATATGATGGCTACCGTCCTTCATTTTCCAACACTCCAAATAGTGGTTACACCCAGGCACAGTTTAATGCTCCACGAGACTATCCCAACTACCAGCGAGTAAGTGTACTCAACTTTGATCTTTTGAATGTAGACTATATAGGAGATAAAATGTTTTTATATCTGCTTGTGATGATATATTGGATCTAAAATTAATTAAATAATTAATTGCAGATCACATTTTAACTTTTAAAGATGAAAATACTCTGGGATTTATTTCATCCCTGGATTATAAATATTCTCCTTTGTTGTTACCCTGCTTTATTAGATTATAGATGTACATTATTTCCTGTAAAAGGACTTTCATAGCCAACTGCGTAACCACAAAACAAAATCATCCAAAATAAGTGAATTCTTGTTTGATTTTCTAAATCCACTGAAATATCATTTTGTAAATTTGTATTTTAATCCCCCCTCATACCCAATTGCTTGACAAATATCTTATGAATATACTGAATGTTAATGGCAATTAGCAAAGACAGAAAATAAACTTGAAATGAAATTCAATAGTTAAAGCCTTTCTAAATGTGTGAAATGTTTTGTTCTTTCATTTTTGACATTGCTTAAACATTTTTTTTGAAACTCTGGACTTTTATATTTTACTTTTTCACTACTGACTGATCTTTTTATTTCAGGATGGATATCAACAGAATTTCAAACGTGGCTCTGGACAAAGTGGCCCTCGGGGAGCTCCTCGAGGTAATATTAGATAATAGAATTATGATTTGAATATTTACAGGGATTCTGGAGTTGTGTATCTTCAGATACTTCCATTCAAGATTCTTTAATAGTTGCAATTTATAATTATGTTTGTTAATTTATTTTTTTTAACTGTATATTCCGCTTTCATGCTATTATTTGTTCAGAATTATTGTTTCATTGTTGCCATTAGTGTGGAAATCAGTAATATTTTGTTGGTGGGGAGGTTGACTATTCTGAAAAAAAAATTACAATCCTGTCTCTGGGCAATAATTTGCATTTTGTTTCTGGACTACACAAAACAATAAACAAGCCAATTAGAATTGTACACCATATCATTGACTGTAGTATTTTATCATTCTATTCAAATATTATCTGAAAACAAGTTTAGGGTAGAATTGTGTCTATGGGGTAAGGAACTTGTAGGACATGTTTAAGGTTTTGGTATGAAATTGTGCATTATTTTTGTACGTTCATGGCATTGCTTCTTTACAGCTGAAGCCTGTTGCTTTGTTGAGAAGGCAGATAGTGGGTAATATTTTCAAGAATTAAATAAACTTAAGAATTTAGATGTAGAAATAAATGTTTATCCTAAAAATCAAAAGTCTCAGTCCCAAAATAAATTTTTATTTTTATTTTCTAGGTCGTGGAGGACCCCCAAGACCCAACAGGGGAATGGCTCAAATGAATGCTCAGCAAGTGAATTAATCTAATACTCAAGATTACTTTTAAAACGCCAAAAACACTGGCCAGTGTACTATATACATGTTACCAGAAGAGTTATCTCTGTTTTCCTTTATAGGAAGTTCATAGTAAAGGGATTATTTTCATTGCCCATAAAGACAAGACTACAGTTGTCAGCTTTATATTACCTGGATATGGAAAGAAATGCCGTTTGCGCTGCATGTTCTGTCCTAAGCGTCACTTTGAGCCTTGCACATGAGATCCAGACCCTTGCTTTGATTTTAAACAAAAATGGCAGTTTCAGAAAATGTCTATAGTTAATTGAACAGGCAGAAATAATCCAACTGACTTCATTGATGTCATATAGTTCTGCAGCAAATTTGGATAAGAATCTGTAAACCCATAAACGTTTTACTCAAGACAGTTGATATATTTAAACTTTTACATTAAAAAGATGGAAGAAGTGAAGTGTGGCTTAACAGAACAACAACTACATTTCAGCTTTTTCTGTTTCATTGAAGCGCCTGAATATTTACATGCATAATAAAGAGCCCTGACTAGATATTAAATCGGTAAACAGCTTAGGCACACCCTTAGCTACAGCACTTTTTTATTAGTCTGATTTGCTGTGGTAAAGGGATGCATTAATTGTTTTGTGTATCTGTTGATATAATTGTGTAAACCCAGAATTAAGCTTTGATTGGCACTTTAAAATTTTGTGTAAGAAATAGAAGATATAATCTGGACAGCCACTTGTATTTTCAAATGTGAAGTGTTGAAAGAGATCTCCTGAACACATATTTCCTAGATAGCAATGCCGTTTGTAAGGATTGGTATTTCTTATCATTCCTTATGATTTGCACATTGTCTGTCATTAATACTTAAACTTGCTGTATTACCATCTTAATAACTGATGCTGGTACTGATGGAAATTAATGGGTATGCATACTACATGTCACATGTCTTTTTTCCCCTGCAGCTTTTAAAGATTTTGAGAAATCTCAAATCCCTGCTGGTGCCCTTTAAATTGCTCTTTTTTGAAAAGCACCAGTAAATGTTTTGATCTGTTTCCCCTTTTAAGGGAAATTACAGCCAGCAGTTACAGATCCAAGCGAGATAAATAAACATGTTTATATTAAAAAAACCTGTATTCCTTAACATATCTTCAATGACTGATGAAAACTCCACAAGCACATTCTTTAAACAGTTTTTTTTTTCATTTTCAACACTCAAAGATGATTCCCAACCCAGAGGTTTGTAAGATATTTATCCAGTAAGGATATGCATTTATCTGACTTGTTACAATCATCAGATTCAATGTTGTCAATTTATATTATGTAGGGGTTGTAAAAGTTTTGAACAAGCAGTAAGAATTGCGTGCATGGATCTTTCAAAACCACCTACACAAGAATTCATGAATTAGTTCAAAGTGTAGTTGGAAGAGTGCTTTTATGGACAGAGCCAGTAGTTCTATTAATTAATCACATTGGGATTATAGAGTTACTGCGGGGTTTTTTAGGTTCTTTTTGTTTAGTTGACAACTTTTCCTGATTCTGTATATGGTAACAAAAAGTAGACTCTTCAATTATGATAATTAAGTTAATTCTTTGAAAGTTTTTTATATTATTAGTATTTTTAGGTACTGTTAGTGAAAAAGATCATAATGGAAAATAACTTCAAATACAGTATCAGAAGCCAAAGATAAATTGGAAAGCAAACAAAATTATTATGTGATGCATTTTTTTTAAAAAAAAATCAAGATTATCCAATGTGATTTAAACAAGCTGCTGTGCATAGGTATTTGTCAATAACTTACCTGTTTATATAAAATAAGCAACTCTTGCTAGCTTTTTATTGGGAAATGAGGCATACAACAAAATTAAACTTACTCTTGGAACATTGCTTTCAAGGCAGATTTAAAGCCACAAACTAAAATAAAAAGTATTTAGAGCGGCAAAATCTTTTGAGGGCACAGAATTTGGTGGCCGAATCAACTACCGGTAATTTGTAAACAAAATTGAGATGACTTTTTAAAGGACTAGTTTATCTATTGACTTTCATGACAAGCTAGCAATATTGAATATAGTGTTTTAATTTAAGCAAACCAAACTATGATTTTTAGAAAACTTAGAATTCCCTAAATATTAGAATGACAAGCTAGCAATATTGAATATAGTGTTTTAATTTAAGCAAACCAAACTATGATTTTTAGAAAACTTAGAATTCCCTAAATATTAGAAGATACATTGTGTTCTCAGATTAATTCAGCACAGTCAATAAATTATGAACATGAGCCCTGCTTGGTTCTATTCTCAATCTAACTGTAGCAGTGGTGGGTTCTGGCTGGTGGCGTCCACATGGATGCATAGAGTGTGCACGCATCTTAGCACCTCCGCGAGCCTCCGCAACGCTACAGCTGCTCAGTGGAGCGTTGCACAGGCCCTATACGCGGCATGCATTAAAAAATCGGTAAGGAGCTCGGGCGGGTGGGCCCTTCGGAGCACCGTACTGGAACGGTATCCGGTGCTCCGGGCAGGTTCCGGTATGCCTATAACTCACCACTGAACTGTAGTCTATTTTATGTTCCTCAATTCCTAGGTGACAAATTGAAACATAGAAGTAGTCATTCCTTGTTACAGCTTGGAGAAAATCCAAATATTAAAGAAAACTGTCCCGTTTCTCATGGAAAAGCTACAGGTCAAGCTATTTATGGGTAGTGAAAAAGATTTGCTAGGGATAGGCTTAATGAGCTTTATCTCCTGTTTTCATTGGTGACAAGCCTTATTTTGTTTCATGCATCCAGGAATTTATAGAATTCCTTAGCTTGTAACAATCCAAATCATTTTTTTTGGCCTTCCATTCATGAATAATGCCTAAATTAGTCCCTGCAGCTTTCTTGGTAAGGTTTTTCAGAAATGGTTTGTCATTGCTTCCTTCCTAGGGCTGAGAAAAAGTAACTAGCCCAGGGCACTCAGTTGGCTATGTGCCCAAAGCAGGACAGAAACTAACCTTCCAGTTTTTAACTTGATGCCTTAACCACTACATCAAACTGGTTCTCAAAATCTGCTGCAAATAGTGCAGTTTCTGGTCTTATGCTGTACAGCAAAGGGGTTATGGGGGGTTATGTTTGTAAGTGTGTGACTAGTGTGTATTGTTAATTCACCTATCTGTCATTGCTTGTCTCCTAGAGAGGGGAGGTAATAGAAAAAAGTAGCAAAAAAGAACTGCCTCTCCACTGTGCTTCACATTGCTACTCTTCTCTTTTCTTTGGCTTTCTTACCAGTAGTGCCACCTTTACCGTCTTCCTCATCCCCTACCCATTTTTTCTCATTTTCATTGGGTGTCCTGATGCTGTCAAATATAATTTACATGTTATAAAACTGGTATAGGAAAAAAAAAAAGAACTGAATGTATGTTTTGAATGTAGCTAAGCTGCTTCAACAGCTTTCTCCAACCTAGTCTCAAGTGGAAATGAAGGACATTGCAGGATGTTGTTTTAAATCCATTTGGGCTGGCCAGTTGAAAACATTGCCATTGGGCCAAGTTCTAATTTTCTCCTGTACTAATGGTAACATTCATATAAATTAGAAGTTGCCAGTTTGTTCAAAATTTCACAAGAGATCAGCAGAGGCTAAATTCATATGTAAACCTGAAGTCTCATCTAGTAATGCATGTAACCTAACATGACCAGACGGCAATCAGCGGAGGAAAACCTATTGAAACATAATTTTTAATTGGGTAACAAAGTGTTTTGTATTACTTTTTCGCTACTTTATATAATCATTCAAATTTCTGTGTTCAGTATTATCAGTTTATTATCCTTTTGGTCTTTTTATAAGTAAGCCAAACAGCACATGTTGAAATTGTGGGCTTTTACTATATCTGAACAGTGTTAAATCAAGCATACCATTATTGGCATTGAAGCTAATGTATTATTTTGAATATTAGGTTGTTAGAAGAATGAATTTAAAACATGTTAAATCTTTAATATATACATCAAGTATGAATAGAACAAATTTGGCTTGATGTGAAATTACATCAAATATATGAGGTTTTTCATTTCAAACTGTAAAATGTTTGAGTTGACGCCCAATGGATTGCATCTGAGTGCATTTTAAAAAATACTGCTTATTGATTGTTCTACTGAAGGATTAATGATGGCAAATAGCCTTCAGACACACTGATGACTGACAGCTGAATTTTTATAAAACTGCTCCCGATAATTCAATTGTTGGTTGCATTTGTTTTTCTTACAAAATTTATAGTTATACTTCAATAACTATAACTATTTTTCCTTGTTCTAAACATTGCTTTTGCAATTTTCACATACCTGTTTTAGAACTGTTAAACTCATGTATTAACTACATTTAAAATATGAAAGCCTGTTTAATTACGTGAAAATGTGTTCAAAACCAAATTCATAATACAGACCTATGCAAATATTGTGAGTTTTAAAAACTTACAAATTTGAAATTGGTGATTGAGGTAGATATTTCTGTCCAAAACTGGAATTAGTGCCTATACAGTTCTTTTGATTGCAGATCTAACTGGAAAACAATTGCCTTTTATTATTCCAGTGAAATATGACATTTTTTCTATCTTTTATGGCGAAATGTGATATTTCCCCCCAATTTTGAGTAACATTAAGATCGTTATGTTTTATTTTTATATGGACATCACCAGCACTAGAATTTTACATTAGGATGTTGTCCAAATACATTCTGCTTAGCATCTGTAATTTATCGTCCAAGGTAACAGAATGAATTGTGGCTAGATTTAAATATGGTGTATATGTATAAAATCAAACATGCAGATTTCTACCTGCTTAACATAATTACTTTGGGTTGCAATTGTGTGTACATTCTAACTGTAGAAAACTGGACTATAAGTATGCTTTTAAATAACAAATATAAAATGGGTACCTTTTAAAAATGTGATGCTGAGATAGAATTGCACAACGTGAAGATTTTAAACTGCATCTGAAAAGGAATGGTTTTAACTATCTTTATAACTGTCTTAAGGGATTTTTATCAAGCAATAGCTACTGTCTTGAATATTACAAAATGCAGCTAATGCAGTGAATTCAGAAGATTGAAGTACATTTAGCCTGATGGCCCACAATGATTTTGCAGGTGAAAGAGGTTGATACAGGGTGTGGATTAACTGCTTCTACAGTTTTGGATCAGCATCAGATTTTCTCCAGATGGCTTAAAAGTAGATACACACTTTTTTATTCTTTCAGGGTATTTCTATCTGAAGAGAGAAGCCATGTTGTCTCCCTGAGAGAAGTTGTCAATTTACACCTTAAGGTGTAAATGAGGAAGACGCTTTGGATTCACTGTGTTCAAATACGTCAACACTTATAGCAATGCCTTAATTAGTACCTTAGAGTAAAATTTACTCTCTCATATCAAAACTATTGAAAAATCAGGCCATTATTGCTAATTTTGGCAAATAACTGGAAACTATGATTTGTTTGCTCATTTATGGATTGATCTCTCTGCCTCCTCAAATGTGAGAATCTTATCCACGTATCACACACTTGTAACATTGATAATTACTGTGTTAATGTGTTTTGATGTTAATTGTTGGCCTTGAAACATGACTGATATAATAAACAGTTGCTGTAAAGGCAGCAGCATCAACTAACAATGCCAGCTCCATCACTTAACTTTTTCAGTGCATAATGCAAACATGCAACTTTCAGATCATGTATTTATTTTTGGTTGTCTTACAGATCTGATTATGATAAATTTTACCATCTCATTTCTCATTAAGTAGATAAAATATTTCAAAGGCAATCAGCATGGAGTTTATAATCCACATCAAAATGATACATACTAAGAGAACTTCATATAAAACAAAATTAAGTTAATTGTTCACTGTCCAAAGTATATAGAGCAACTAACATATTTGATTGGTATTTTTTTCAAATACCTACTTTGCTGACATGTCTGTCTCCATGGAAAGCCAAAGAAGGTATTGCAGACCTCCATGGTGGGATAAGGTATAAGGAGGCATTGGGATGTATGGGGAGACAACCAATCAAATGTTGAGTTAGGGAAAAGGTTTGAGTTCTGATCAAGTGCTCATCCAGTTAAACATTCTACAATAACAAGTTTTAAAGTGTTGATTCTTTGTTAATACAATGGCAAATTAATGGCCTTAGAAATCTAGTTAAAAAGGATCCCAGATTAAGCACCAGAGCTGGTAGCCTATAAATGCTATCCTTGCACGCCTAAATTTTCATCAATACTACAAATATTTAAATATCCTTAGAACCCAAAGGACTATTGGCTATTAAGTTATTATTAAAACAGATTTTGTAATAAAACTCTGAGACGTAGCCCGTTACAAAACATTGTTTTTTCTGTTACTTTCTCTACTACTTGGTTGAAACAATCACTGCTGTTTACCTTTGTGCATTTTCTGGCAGGTGGCCACACTTTCAAATCTCTGGGTACAATCTTATTTTTGCTTTTGAAGAAAGCTGCTCTGACAATTCAGATATTTGAAGTCTGCTATCCTCGGGCGCTGTTCTGAAAATTAAACCTTTATTAATTTTAGCCATTAGCTTCCGTGCTTTCCATCTTGGTAGTCATGCTCTGAACTTGCTCTAAATTTTAATCGTCCTTGTACCTGGTGTCCACATTGAGAACAGTATTCCAAATAGGATCTGATCAGGGCAGGTAGAATAGAACATTTTCTTCCTGTATATGGATTCAATACTCCCATTAATGCAAATAGCATTTACTTTTATCAGCTGCATATACTGCAGCTTCATGTTTTAATCTAACAAGAACATTCAAATTCTTGTAGTGCATTAAACAAGGCCTCCCCTCATCCTCTTGAGACTTCCCTTGGTTCATTTCAGTTGCAAAATGTAATATTTCTCAATTTTAAAAATATTAAATTAAAAAAACCAGTAAAAGACATGATTATACAGAAAAGAAAGCTAAAAAAAATCATATAATTGAAAACTTAATGTTTTAAATTGTTAAATCTAGAATGTCTAGTAAATCTAGAATGTCATTTTAAGAAGAAAAAAGACTGCAAAAATATCCTGAACCTAGCCCTTATAATCAAGAGAATATGTAAAGTCGTAGTCTGACGCCCCCACCCCAGGTTACATAGCATCACCTTTGCCATGCCATAGGTTTGATAGAGCCAAAATATCCTGAGATGACAGATTTTATGTTTTAGGAAAACAATTGGATATCGCATTAAGATACTTGTATTTTTTCTTCCCAAAGTTATATAGATTTATGTAATAACTGAATCCGAGCAAGGTGGACAAGACCAGATATGACTGCCCAAAAATGAAAATTATTTCATACAACAACAATTTTTTTTTGATGTCTAACCTTTTTTTTAAAAAAAAAAATGAAATATTTCTAATTTGTTTAATCAGTAAGTATATTTCATATTTTTGACATCTGGACCCATTGATTCTCCAAAACTGCATATTCCAGTTCTTCATTCCACAATTCAGGTATATAATTTTCATTTTGTTTTATAATTCCTTAAAAAATGGTTTTCATTCAAGTGCTACATCTCTTAAGTGTATATAAATTGAAGGTCCTTGACTAGAGCATTCTGACTTGCTAAATTAAATATTTCTACTGTATATACTGCCAGGTGAATATTGTAGTTAAGTTTATCAAACTTCTATACTGTTCACTGCACTTGTATGACTAAGTTATAAACAAAGGAAATGTAGAAATATTAAATAGATATTCCTCCAGCAATATAGGTTCAATAATCCTGTTATCCAATCTCAACTCCAATCTCAATTGGAAGACTATTAAATTAGAATTTCATGTGGATCAGGGACCTTTTTTGGTTTCCTAGGTTGCAGTGTGATTTCGTGTAATGTCAGTGGTGTCAATTTATTATCTTTATGATAAATTTCTATTTCAGTATTGCCCAGGGCTCCTATTATTACATCTCATCTTACTACCTGTAGCCCATTGCTGAAGCCTGATTCAACCATTCTCCATTTTTCTCTCTTAAAAATTAGTCACATGCTTTGTGTAATTTACAAAGTAACCTCAAATGTTTTCGAGTGGCATAGAAGCTTAGCAAAATAACAGGGACCGTGGAGGTCTTCTAGTCCAATGCTCTGCTCAGGCGGGGAGCCCTATACCATTTCATACAAATGGTTGTCCAATCTCTTAAAAACTTCCAGTGTTTGGGCATTCACAACTTCTGGAGGCAAGTTGATCCACTGATTAGTTCTGTCAGGAAATTTATTCTTTGTTCTAGTTGCTTCTCTCGATTAGTTTCCATCCATTGCTTCTTGTCTTGCTTTCATGTGCTTTGGAATTTGATTCCGGTGGTGTATTAACCATTAAGCAGACTAAACACGTGCTGAGGGCACCAAGCCCAAAGGGGGCACCACAAAGTTGAGGGGAAAAAAACCAATTAAGATTTGTACAGTATGTACAAAGGGCACCAAGATTTTTCAGTGTTTAGGG